CTCCTCCCCCTTCCTCTTCCCCTTTCCCCTCCATCTCCTCTCCCCCACTGTCCTTCCCCTCCCCTCCTCCCCCTTCCTTACCTTCTCCTCCTTTTTCACTTTCTTAGTCCTCTTGTCCCAGTCTGATTTTTCAGTTCCTATGACCTATACCTTATTTTTCCTCTTTTTCAGACAAGCTGATTTTCACATGAGGGAGGCAAAAAAATTGAAGCAGAAAGCAGAGTTAATGGTCAGTCTTAGCTCTTTATCCCTTTGGTAGAAGGTCCTCTGATTAAAAATATCTGTCATCTCCATTCTGCCACATCGCATATCACTCCACTGGGGGAGGTGGGGGCACGGATGCTGGGGTTGGGAGGCCACCCCAGGCCACAGCACGTGGGACAGGCAGGATCCCAGGGACTAAGGAAGGGGGTGTTCTTGGTGCCGTTATTGTCTTTGGCTCCATTGATCTGGTCTGATCACGGGCAGATGTACAGAGTGCCCAGTCATAATTATATAAATATCAGTGAATCACAGTCAGTCTTCCTGGTGGTGATTTAATGCGTGAGTGCTTTTTGTTCCACTGAATCAATTCTTTGGACGTGGAAAATGAATCCTGCTATTGAAAGTCAATTTGTGTTCACTCTAAAACATCTCACAAGGTGAGGAAGCCTGTTTGCTTTCCAGATTTATCTTAAAGCTCCTGAGAGCATGATCTGAAGGAATGGTTGAGCGAGGGTGGTTAGGTGCAATTTTAGATGAAGGCAGTGATTGTACTGTTGGTAAACACGGCTAACGACACCAGCTCTCTCACTGTGGTGGCCTTTGGACTTTCTGGAAGGTGGTAGTTTTGTTGTTGATGCTATACATAATTAAATATGCTGTTACATCTCTGCTGCAATATAATGAGATAACATCTGCCCTTTGTCGTAACTAAACATCTAAGACTCCGAAGCTCTTATTTATTTAGGGTGTTCCCCAAATCTAAGCCCTGTAAATGCACGAACTTCCCTGGAAAGCCATCTATTTGCTGAACTTTGGACCCCAGGAGAAGAGCCTGGGTTGCCTTTATTGTTCTGCATGCAAACGAAACCACATGCTTCAGGGGCCCTCAGGGACCTGAATCAGATGGTTCCAGGTGGCGGCTCCCTGCTCTTCAACCCCAGACTGCAGGCTCACATCTGTTCTCAGACTAACGGCTAGGGAGGGTGGGCCGAGACCTGTCAGCACACAAATGTGTATTGATCCCTCTCCATGCTGGATGCTGCGGAGGTCCAGGACAAGCCCCTCTAGCCCTGTCTCTGAAGCTACTGCACACCACGTTGACTGGAGTCAGATTAAGACTCTTAAGATTGAGCCATGGTGCTGTTTCAACCATTTCCCTCCAGCTGTCCAAGATTTTTGCTGGAACTGTATGAATATTTTGAATTTTGGAAAAGAGTAAACTTTTAGCACCATCCACCAGTTATCTAAAACTTACCTTGAGATTGGTTGCTTTTAGCACTAGATCCCCTGATTATTCAAGCAAGTGAGATTAATTTTCCAAGGAATGTTGTTTTTTATTTTCCTTTTTTGCTCTGTCTGTAGGGCTGGAGTACAATGGCATGGTTACAGCTCGCTGCAACCTCAAATTCTTGGCCTCAAGCAGTACTCCCACAGTGACCTGAGCCGTCATGCCAGGCCCACACTTTGCTTTTAATCTGTACGTGTGTATATCTTCTTCCTCCCCACCCAAGGCTGTCGTGCAGCCCAGGGTGCTAGGATTGTCCTTTATGTCTGCTGCATCCTATTTTAATAAATAAATATATTCTACTTCACTCAAAATGTGCTGGTTGGGACAATAAACCCATATGGCCCAGGGCCCTCTCCAAAATATTCTAATTGTGTGAGTCTGAACGACATGCGTCTGGCATTCTAGATAATAAGGTGCACAGCCGTGTGTGGAGGGCTGTGTGTTGGGGGGCCTTGTGTCGGGGGGCCTTGTGTCGCGGGGCCTTGTGTCGCAGGGCCTTGTGTCGCGGGGCCTTGTGTCGAGGGGCCTTGTGTTGCGGGGCCTTGTGTCGCAGGGCCTTGTGTCGTGGGGCCTTGTGTCGAGGGCGTGTTTCCTCCCCGCATCCCACTCAGTGCTGAGCAGGGGCACGAGGACTCTGCTGCTGTCATGCTGTCTCTGAGTGTGCTCATCAGCGTGCCAAGGACTTATCTCGAGGAAGTGGGTATCCCCCAGCTGCTGGCGCAGCGCTACGGTGTCTTTTGTTTCTACTAAGACCAGTATTAATTTCGGAAACTCGGTGGAAGAGATGGTGTTGAAAAGCAAATTTGGAGAATTAGATTTTCATCAGCGAAGCAAAGTGGTCATGCGCTAAACTTCTGATTAATCGGAGGCATGCTAATTTGATTTTTATTCCTTCCATCATTAATCTTCTGAGCCTAGGTTTTCTAGAAAAAAAAAATCCTTAGATTATGTTTTTTCTTAAAATTTTAGAAAAATATTTAATATACTAAAATATATGTATACATATACGTGTGCGTGTAGCAACCCAGTTTGTTCCACTGCTGGTAGGACACAGGCCAGGATGCACTGGAGTAATCTGTGGTCGGGTCACTGAGGGGAAGAGCTCCTTCTGCCCCCGGCCCGGGGAGGGCAGCAGTGTGTCTGTACAGAAGAAGCCCCCCCGGGATCATCACCGTTGTCCACTTAACTCTTTACTATTTTCACTCTCTTTTTGAACACACCAAATTGAAAGCATTAGCAGAAATGCCAAACAAACTTGTGAATGTCGTGTCAATCAGCTGTTCTCACTGTGTGGTGCAGATGTCACGTGTAGATTAGGAGTGAGTTGCATTGATCTCGGTTGAATTTGCCGTATGCCACTAGTGGGAAGAGTGGCAAAGTGTTTGTTCAGGTTTAAGGTGAGCAGTACTACTTGGTCTTATTCATATCTCCCCATCCCTTTGAGATACTCTGATAGCGTATCTGGAACCCAGAGAGGCTAAGGAGATTACCTGTTAGGCTCTCGGAAGCATAAGAAATGATTGTCAGGTAATACATCTGTAACGAGATGCTCAGAAGCCTTAATAAGTGCTTTCTACTTTTCATAAGATAAACACACAAAGAGAGCTGTCTCTGTTACTCTGTATGTAGATGTTTCTCCAGAAAGTCCCATAACAAGCAGTTGCTCACAACACGTGACAAGGGAAGTAGGTGCTGGTCGCCTCAGCTAGGACATGTGCGCTCGGCTCTGAGAGGGTAGTTGTAAAGCAAAATCCTTCTCTTTTTCCTGATGAACTTTTGCTAAGAGGAATGTTCCCGTGGCCAGAGCTGGCTGCTCTGCTCATCACCTTGGTTTGTTCTCATGCATCTCTCCAGCTGTAATTAAAGGGTGGGTGAGAAACTGAATAGAAGTCTGTCTCCCACCTAAAGGGAACTGTGTTCTTCTTCTACAGACAGACAAGGTTGGAAAGGCCTTTAAGTACTTGGAAGCCGTCTTGTCCCTTATTGAGTGTGGAATTGCCATGGAGTCTGAAAGCCCAGCGTCCAAGTCCGCTTACTCTGTGTACTCAGAGACCGTGGACCTCATTAAGTAAGTGCCGCGTCACTTTGCCGTCCTCTTCTAAGTTCTTGCCTTTCCTCACCTTTATTGCTCTAATCCATTTGAACCTTAGTGCGAAGACATTCACTACGGGGAGTCTTAACGAACTTACTGGCCTAAGAACTGTTCTTTTATCCTAGACTGTGTTCTAGCTGAAGCTCTAGAATAACCCAAAGAATAACTGGGTCCAAATTCATCATTTTGTGTTCCCCCCCACACACACACACACACATACACACATACACGTGTGGAGAAATGCCAGACCTTTCAGGGAAAGGTTGGTTTTTCCAGTTTAGCTTTCTTATCAGATGCCCTTTCCCCTCAGTTTAAGCCTCTTTTTGTTTATCTGCATTTCAGCCAGGAGCTCAGTAAGAACAAAGACTGCTTGGTTTCAGGAGGTGGACAAGCCGGAGACAGGTGCTCACCTGGCTCTGGGAAGGGCCGAGTGCTGCTCCGAGGCCCAGCTGGTTTCTCTGTGGCTCTCCTGCCTTCACACCTTCAGGAAACGCAATAGAAAGCGGAGACAAGCGTCATGAGATGGACTTGTGTCCGGCTAGTCCAGCTGCCGTGTCTAACCTAATGCACTTTTATGTTTTCCTGTAGATTCATAATGTCATTAAAATCCTTCTCAGATGCCACCACATCAACACAAGAGAAAATATTTGCTGTTTTATGGTGTGTACTTTTTTCTATGTCTAAATAGTAGTAAATTTGCTTTTGCATCTTTTAATATGGCAAAAGGATTTTGAAATTTGTTAACATAAAAATTATGATAAAGGCAAATTGCTACCTTGGTCCCTAGCTAATTCCACTGATAGTTAATTATTATGAAATGGCATATCTGCTGCCGTTTTGCTGATGACTCAGTAGCTGCTTCGAGCTTGTGATTTAAACTATATCCTTCTGCGTTTGTGGTTTTCCGACAATACTCACTTTTGGTGATAATGTAACGGTGCAGTGAGATTCTCCATGTACTTCTGTAGATGGGGAGAACTGCGTGTGATCGTTAGGTTCTAAGCCGTTAGAAAGCTGTTCCTTTCTAATAGTGGTTGTTATGTCCACAAGGCAATAAATACTTCCCTTTTTAACTTCTGCTTTTGTTCATAGCTTGCGTTGCCAGTCCATTTTGAATATGGCAATGTTTCGTTGTAAAAAAGATATAGCAATAAAGTATTCTCGGACTCTTAACGAACACTTCATGAGTTCTTCCAGAGTTGCCCAGGCACCTTCTCCATGCATTGCAAGGTAATTATAAACCTAATTTAAATCATTTATTTACCTCTTATTTTTGCAACCATGTATGGGGGGAGTGGCTTTTGCTTTTCATTTCTTTTATTTATTTATTTAGAGACAGAGTCTCGCTTTGTCGCCCTCAGTAGAGTGCTGTGGAGTCACAGCTCACAGCAACCTCCAACTCCTAGGCTTAGGCGATTCTCTTGCCTTGGCCTCCCGAGCAGCTGGGACTACAGGCGTCCGCCACAACACCTGGCTATTTTTTTTTCTTGCAGTTTGGCCGTAGCTGGGTTTGAACCCGCCACCCTTGGTATATGGGGCTAGCGCCCTACTCACTGAGCCACGGGCACCACCCAGCTTTCGCTTTTCAAAAACTATTGGCTTAATTTGTGTGCTGATTACTCTTTAAACTTACATGTTTTTTAATTATTTTTATTCTTAGTCCTTAAACTTGATGTTTTTTTTTTTTTTTTCTTTTTTTTTTTTGGCCAGGGCTGGGTTTGAACCTGCCACCTCTGGTATATGTGGCTGGTGCCCTACAACTTTGAGCCATAGGTGGCACCCTAAACTTACTTGTTTTTTTATTTTTTTTAATTTTTACTCCTTAAACTTAAATCATTAGCATATTTCTGCTAATGTTTTGAGAAACAGTTATAAATCAAGGGTTTTGCTGGTTGGGTAACATGCAGAGGTATTGTAGAGAATATCGAGTTTGAGGGTCTTTAGATGTGAGCCGAAGAACACAGAACAGGAGGCAGAGCCAAGGCCTCTCTCCCTCTGTGTGATGGACATTTCTCCTTGGCATCAATAAACAAGAACTTTCCAGAGCCATATACTCTCCGCCTTCTCCAGGATCCACACCAGTGATGCTAAGAATGAAAGTTAACTCTTCTCTAGCAAAATTCTTTACTCCACTTTGTGGACTGAAATTATTAGTCCGTGCTGTAAGGTGTTAAAAACCAGAATCCCCGTGCAGGTGTTTTTAAAATGAAGATAAACGTTTTCTTGCCTTTAGTCCTTGCCTAGCATTTTTTAAATTTGTTATACTCCTTGTGAAGTTTCTAGTTCTGATAGGTTTTGCTATTTTAAGAATATCACTCCCATGACTGCCCCATTTACAGCACATTCAAAAGACGAGACGCTCTCCCATACGGCCTCTCTCAAAAAAGAAAGTCCTGAAGGAGAAGGAACTTCTTCCCTCTAAAAATGTTCACAACTCCCGCTGCTGAAATTTTATTCCAAGCTAACAAGTTGCCCATCACTATTTTCATGTCTCAGTGGCTCCCTGGTCTTTCTTATTTGATCTGCATGGAGGCCTAGTTTAAGTCATTATGTCCCAGTATCATGCACAGTTCCCTGCCCAGTGTCCCGCAGGCTGTCTTATAGCAGTTCAGTCACCAAGTCAGCCTGTGCTCATCAGGGGCCACTGTGACAGGCTAATAGTGAGACACGGTCTCTGCTCTCCTGGTGCCGTGACCTGTGAAAAGGAATAGACAGAAAACAAATACAAGAAAAATGTTCAAGTGGTAGCAGAGAGGAAGCTGGGCTGTGTGTATGGTGTCCACAGGAGTGTTGGGTGCAGATGGGTTATGGGGTGGATAGCAGAGTGGGGGCAAATGTATGTATAGGTGTCTTGCTGGGAATTGGGTGTGAAAAGAGAGATTCCAGGGGAGGAAGCAACTCTGCAAATGGCGGGGAAGGCACATTCGGAATAGATTAGCCCAGTGGAGTGACTGTCTGAACTCATAGTGTTTAGAGTGATTATCATTTTGATGGGTGCATAGTAAACTTTGTGACTGGGCTGCAGTTTCAGGGACAGGAGAGCTGTGACGGGGGCCTCAGTGACTGACCCATTCTTTCTCCTCTCCCACCCCTCAGAAGCACAGGTGCACCATCCCCTCTCTCCCCGACGCCTTCTCCTGCCAGCTCTGTAGGGTCCCAGTCAAGTTCTGGCAGTGTGGGGAGCAGCGGGATGGCTGCCACCATCAGTACCCCCGTCACCATCCAGAACATGACGTCCTCCTATGTCACCATCACGTCCCATGTCCTCACTGCCTTTGACCTTTGGGAACAGGCTGAGGTCCTCACCAGGAAGAATAAAGGTAAGTGGCTCTGTGGAGGTAATTTAGGGGGCAGGGGGATCAGCAGGGAGTAATATTGGTTTTATGTTTGGTTTCTTGGAGAAAAAGAAGTATGTGGCTATTTTTATTCTTTTCATATTTTCTTCATTTTGCCTCAGCCTCATTACAATTCTCCCTTGAGCTCTGTGGCTAAGATCTTAGCAAAACCAAATTAGAAGCAGCTTTAGCACCTTGCCCCTTTAGAATTTCTGCTGTTATTATTTCAGCCTGAACTAACACGCTAGCAAGAGGGCACAGCAAACAAACAAGGAAAATCACAGGCTGCTCCTGGGCTCAACACATTTGAAATCTAAAGTAGCATAACCCAAATACTGAGTTTGTTGTTTACTTTCCGTATATCTTAGGAAAGACCAGCTGGCTATGGTCCAGGAGGTACGGCACAATAAATGTCCTTGGAAACACCTGCTCGGTGCCGGTGCCAGTGACCACCAAGGAAATGCTTCTGTGTGAGAATGCCAGTGAGACCATTGCATGGATTTTCCTGGCTGCTCCTTCCTGGGAGGAAGGCAGCTAGCGAGCTGTGGGCACTTTATTTCCCCTTCGCCTCTTTGTGCTTTGTCTTTCTTAGCAAACTAATAGTGCTTTTAATTACCTCCCCCCCATTGATGTCCCCATTGACCCAGAAGTATAAATTATTTTCCAAGTGTCAGCCACTAGGCTAAGCATAATGGATTCAACTCTAAAGCAAACCTGGTTTGTAGTCTAGTGGAGGCAGGTGGAGAACTGGCAAACAATTAAGTGGATACTGATTTGTTTTTGTTTTTGTTTTTGTTTTGTTTTTGCTGTGATAGGTAAAGTGCACAATATTGTGAGGGCATAACCTCTGCAGTTTTTATTTACTTATTTGGTGTCCATTTTCATTTTTGTGCATGTGTATTTATATGATTTTTGTTTGTACGTGTGTATTTATTTGATTTTTGCTTGGTTTTGTTCTCAGAATTCTTTGCTCAGCTCAGCACAAATGTGTGCGCCTTGGCCCTCAACAGCAGTTTGGCGGACCTGGTGCATTACACAAGACAGGGTTTTCAGCAGCTAAAATAAGTAGCCGGAACACCTTAATGGAGCCTGAAGTTGATTCAATGCCTTGGGAACATTTTTTGCACATTGGGAAGCTTCAGAAACAGCCTGGATGTTTGTCTCATCAGGACACCAAACTCTAGAAGAGAAGCATCAGGAGATGGCCAGGACAATTGTCCGTTTAAACTTTCAAGAACTGTGCGATCATTGGTTTGCCACTATGTTTATGCAGAAGCCAAGATGAGGCAGTCGGCCCCAGAGATGATCTTGCCTTTCCCCCCTGAAGGACAGAAGTGCAATGCAGCCTAAGTGGGTGTATGAATGGTCTAGAAACATTTCTTCTTCTTCTTCTTCTTTTTTTTAAACCAGCAGGATGCAAGTTGAAAATGGAATGAGGAGAAGCAATTTCAACTCTGAAAGCAAATGCATATCATCTCAGTAGCTACCTAGTCCATTCCCAGAAGGAAATTTTTCTAAAACAATTATTTTGGGTGAAGGGTTTAGGGTTTTATGGATGATTTCTTTTTTCTTTTAAGTTTTGGGGGGAAATATTTGTTTAATAAATCACAGCCATCTGTAAACTGTTAAGTTGTGAAGGACTCCACTCTACCCCACTTTCTGCCAGTGAACAGTGGCTTTGATAATACCAAGTGTTGTCATTTATAAAATTGAAGGTGACTCCCCTCCCCATTCTCCCGTGTTGGCTAGAGTGCTACACATTCAGCCCAGCTCTGATTTCCCTGCCCCTCTGCTGGAAGTCAGCCCAAGTGGGAGCAGTGGGGAGAGGTGCCACCAGCACTCGGGGACAGCTCCACAGGGGACTCAGACTGCCGCCCCGCACCGCTGCAGCAGAAGGAGCTGTCTGACAAGGCAGTCATTGTTGACTATATTCTGAATTTCCTCCCCTGGGGAAGAAGGGAACCAACATTTATACCTGACAAGATGGCTAAAGTGCTTTTAATTATTGTTGAGAGCTGGAATTTGAGGTGCTGATCTGTGGTCAACAGTGACATGAGAACTCAAGGTGTCTAACCAACTCAGTTTTGTCCGTGAACAAGAAAAATGAAATCTACTTCTTAGAGAGGCTATATTTTTCTGCTACAAATTTATATTTATAGCTAAACTAGATTTTCAGAGTCCTTGATTGTCTAGGGGTAATTAACTTCCTGGGAGGATGTAGAGATTTAGGATGGTTAATTAGACTTAAAAAAAAAAAATATATATATATATATATATATATATTTATCTCTTCACCACATGCCTTCACTCAGAGTGTTCTCAATCAACTAGATTGGCTAGGTTGAAGAATTGTGGCCTTCCCATAAGTTATTGCCATACTCTGTACATTAATTAAACTAAGTCCATTTTGAATGCCCTAAAATGAAAGAACATATCAGGATTGCCATGTCCATAAGCACAGATTTTCTTCTTCATTGAAACTTTCAAGGTTGTTATTAGAAACATTTTGAGTGCAGTGTTTTCAAAAGTCAATTCTTTTCATCCCTTTTGGAAAGAAGGATTTGCACATGTATTAAAATTCAGGAGGAGTATCATCTCTATGACTGGTTCGTGTTTTCCCCCTTTACCACATTCATTCCCTTACACGTCTCCTACCAAGCATGTGTCACGTTTATTTTCATATGTATTTACTAGTGAAGAGGAGAGAATCATCCTTATTTATAATGAAGATATCTAAGATCCCTGTGGTGAATGTGAGAGCTCTTGGTAGTTTGGCAAATCTATAAAGAGAGCTGCGGGGTGGGAGCAGCGCACATTGGGGATGCCCTGTGAGGAGTGCTCTAGCAGAGAGGCCTGCCCTCGCATGTTGAAGGTGAAGCCAGGGAATGACACCACAGAAACACCTGAGCACGAGACCTGCTGTGATTCTGATGAACTGATCCGAAAGCTGAGGTCTCTTCCTCAAACTACTAGCTGGAAAACCTGTTGAATGAGCAGTAATTGCCTGGTAGGCTGGATGCTTGTGGCACCATGTGTACATTTTTTGTATGCAGGGAAGGGGACAAGGCACTGGAATAATCATTTGACATTTTTTTTCCCCTTACTGTCTTCACTGTCCCTCCCTCCTTAAAACAAGCCACCTGTCGGTCACAAAGGTTTGTGTTCTTTATGACGGGTGCTGACCTGCACAGACTGTGCCAGAGTGTGTGTCTTCTCTTGGCAAGCCACAGCGCTGCCTTGACGCAAGACGTTTCTCTGTAGATTTCCAGCCAATTCTAAAAGAACAGATTGCTTCTTCAGTGGTCTTATTCTTTGTGGGAGTATTTTCCCCCTGAACTTTACATTGTGGTTTTATTTGTCCCTTGAAAAACAATTTGGTTTGTTTTTTGAGACAGGGTCTAGCTCTGTTGCCAGGGCTAGGGTACAGTGGTATCATCACAGCTCATAGCAACCTCATACTCCTGAGCTCAAGCAATCTTCTTGCTTCAGCCTCCTGAGTAGCTGGGACTATAGGCGCCTGCCACCACACCTGGCTAATGTTTCCTGTTTTTTGTGGAGATGAGGTTTTGCTCACGTTCAAGCTGGTCTCAAACTCCTGCCCTCAAGTGATCCTCCTGCCTTGGCCTCCCAGGATGCTAGGATTACAGGCATGTGCCACTGTTCCTGGCCAAAAAACTAACAAATTTGAATAGATCAGCTTATATTACTTTGGTCATTGTATATTTCTGATTCTTACTGTACCACTCATTCCTAAAAGAATTCCTAATGGCTACATTTTTCATAGTGTAGTTAAAAGGTAGTGGCTGAGCAATCCTTAATCTTCCTAGAGTCTTTTTGCCATTATGCTTGTATATAGGGATTTAAAGGATTTTTTTAATCATTCACACTTCTCTGCTGCATGCGTACAACTCTCAAAGGCAAAATTTATACCAAGGTAGATTATTTTGAAAGGACGAGATTTTAAAACTAAGCCTTTGAATATGTGAAGTTTCTTTAACAGTAATAGTACATATTTCACAGTGAAACAAATATAAAACTTCTTAAAGAGTGAAAATAGAGTATAAATCTTGCCTTTAGCACTACAGTGTGTTGTGTGTTGTGGGTGTCTGTGTGTCTTTAATAGGAAATGAAAGAACACTGTTTTACTTTCAAAAGTGTAGACTATTTCTGTCCTTTCTAGAGATAATTAAAATGTTAATTGGTGAACATAAGAGGCCTGCTAAATAATGAAACCCACTTTACTGAAACTGACCAAATTACACTGGGTAAAGACTGAAAACCCGGCCGCACAGTAGCGCCTGTGAAGAGCAAGGGGGAGCCCAGCACACAGTTACAGAGAATGGAATTACAACTGAAGGGTCGTTTGTCTGACATGACTTGATCACAGTGCCGAAGGGGAGAAGCACCTAATATTTTTTGACAAAGGACATTTATTTTATAGATCCTTTTTGATCAAAGTATATACTGTTTCCCCTAGACAAATCGGACTATAATTATCTCCCTTGTCCTCTGACCTTTAATCCCAGATCTCAGGATGTTTAGAAAACTAACAAACTCTACCCCTTTCTGGTTGGAAATTGCCTTAACTGGTACCTTTACATAGTGATACTAGTAGGATCAGGAGCTTACTGTCGTATAGGTCCTGTTCAGCAATTTTTAGAAGCAAAAGTTTCTTCCACAAAACCATTATCTCTGGTACACAAAGGGATGTGTACATGCGCACACACATGCAGAGAAGGAGAGGCTGATTGGATGTATTTGTGCCTTCGCCCAAACTCAGTTTTGAATAATGCTGTCTTTGTTTTGCCGTGGTGTCAAGTCATGTGTTACCTGGTTCCTGCCCCTTTTTACTTCTGTGCTTTATGAAGTTTGAGGTGCATTTGTGCATCTTTAGGTAAATAAGGTTTAAGATCGGACTTTTGGGTTTTTTAAACATGTTTCACAAAAAATCTCCCTGCCTCCTACTACAGATTCTGCTTTTATTAATGATTTATTTTCCCAAACACTACAGAAAGTCTTTGAACAAAGTTGCCACTTCAGCTGTTGCACTCATCACCACTGATGTTCAGTATTTAAATCTTGCAAGAATATTTGGGGGCTGCTTTTAGATTTTCTCCCTGGGAAGTGAGAGTTACGCATCATGGCTGTGCAGTGATGTCAGAAGCAATTATGGCGGTACTTGCTTTTTGCCATTTTCTCTAGTAGGTTGCCTCTTCTTGTTGCTCCATTTAGAATTAATGGATGTAGGGTATTTTCCTGTACTTTTATTTTTTCTCTTTTTTCTTGGGGGGGGGGTAATAGTGGCAGAACAGCCTTGGGGATAGGGTTGGGCTATTCCTTCAAACATTGCAAGTGATATTTCCACCATGTCAACCTCAAACATGCAGTCCCATTGTGCTGGTTTCTCAGTGACTGAGAATGCACATCTCTGCCTAGATTGTGAGCACTGGCCGTGTCCTTTAGTTCTGATTTATGATGAGTTGACATATACCACTTGCCACATTTCTTTAGATGGCTATAAATGTCTTGCTGTCTGGGGGAAATCACACTATTCCCTTGTGCGTCAGATATCAAAAGGTACTGTGATAGGTGGGGAAGTGCCTCTACTTCTCTGCCTAGGAGGGCAGGAGGGAGCCTACAGCTCTTCGTGGGCCTGTCGGGTAACATATTGTCCTGGGAGAATGAGGGAGTGAGATCACTGACGGGGAGGCTGGCCAGGCTGCCCCGGGTGGACAGGGCAGTGGCTGAGTTAAGGAAGCCACCTTGCTCTGCTTCAAAGAAGATATTTAAGCGATGCTTAACACAGGCAGTATTACTTTTGCCTTTTGTTCAGGCCATCAATTTGTATTGTTAAAATTACTGCACATCCCCCCTCAGATACCAAGTATACACTGTTCGTGTTGGGGTGGGGGGTGTGCGTGCGCGCGTGTGTGTACACATGTGCTCCAATTCTTGTTATGATTCTTTTTCTTTCCTGAATGTGATAATGTTTTGGATGATACCTGAGCAGGGTTGCCTTTTTTATTTATTGCCATTATATATTATATTATATTATGTATTTTTTGCTTTCTTATAACTTTAGAGGAGAGTCTTATCTTGGTATTATTAACATTGTCTAAAAAGGAATAAAGTGTCCAGCTGATAAATGAAAATCACTGGTCTATCTTTAAAATAATGAGTTTTTCTCTAATCACTGTGGAATAATGTGCCAGCTGTCGTCAACACAATGACTTTGGAGGAGAGGGGGCAGGTGCCCTCAGTGGGCAGACGTGCACCACACGTTAGTGGGGGGACTCTGTGTATTTTATCTACTTCAGCAATGGAACTGCGACCTGGGGCTTTTGTGAATAAGATTTAGCTGCCTTGTATAGTCTTTTGAAAAAGACATGTGATCTGTGAGAATTAGTTTTTTTTTTAGAAGAAAAATTTGCAAAAGATGTTTCCAAAGACAACGGTGCCACAGATCTTTCGTTTGTTGTTCTCTGTAATGAGGGTTAATTGCTGTTTAAAAAAATTGTAATTGACTTGTTCATCTTCAAATTCTTTCCTTTTCACAAGAGGATCAAGCTGTAAAATAAATAAATAAATAAAAATTTAGAGAAATCACTGAGGTTGAATCTGTGCTTTCCCTTTACCTGAATAAAGTAATTCTTAAAATTTCTGTAAGAAATTGCCGTTTAGGCTCAGCACCGTAGCTCAAGTGGCTAGGGTGCCAGCCACATACACCAGAGATGGCAGTTTTGAATCTAGCCCGGGCCCGCCAAACAACAATAACTACAACGAAAAAAATAGCCGGGCGTTGTGGCAGGCGCCTGTAGTCCCAACTACTTGGGAGGCTGAGGCAAGAGAATTGCTTAAGCCCAAGAGTTGCAGGTCGCTGTGAGCTGTGGTACCACAACACTCTACCCAGGGTGACGGCTTGAGACTCTGTCTCAAAAAGAAAAAGAAATTGCTATTTATAGCCAAGGAGTTTGACATGGAATAGTGTGCTGTTATTCACAACATGTATTTGTTGCCCAAATGGGGAAAGAAATGTGGAAAGAAGGTAGCTTATCCTTCTATCCAGTTTATTTTCAAGATTGTAATCACACACACAAATGAGCTGAATATCACCAGCGTGGCTTCTTATACTGACATCAGCTGGAAGATACAGCAGTGACCGAGTTTGCCTACTTTCAGTTTGTTTGCTAGGTAGACAGGTTTGTGGAATGTCCGTATAGAAAGGAATCTAAAAGTGATTTTCTCCCTTTGCTACCCGTAATCCTCAGTGCTTTCATGAAATTAGAAAGGACCTCCCGTGTTGAAACCCAGCTTCCCAGAACTTGACTCCCACCTCTTCAGTTTGCTAATTATGTGACCCTTGCAAAAGTAAGTTACACCCTCTCTGGGTTTCTTTTCATTTATAAACTGATATGCTATCTACCCAGTAAGATTGCAAGGAGCACACTGAAGGTGTGTTGGGAGTGGTTAGTGTGGCACCTGCCATGACGTCATCTCTCAGAAACCATTGCATCCCCCACCCCCCGCCACTGCACTACAGCACCCCACTCCTGACCCTCCCGTCTCTGCCTGAACCCCGGTGCGCATGGCCAGTCGCCTTCCTCCACTTTGACTAGTCCTGATGAACAGGTGAGGACTCAACCTCTGTGAGCTTATGATGAAGTTGGAAAGTCAACCATAACTGTTGTGTGGGGCATGCAGAAACAAGTGTAGGACGAGGGAGTGTTTTGGTTTTGCTTGAAACTACAGAGAAGAGAGTCACTGGGTCATCAGATCTATTTGGTAATCTTACGCACAAACTTTCTCCGCCATGTCTTGCACACCTTGAAATGTCAGTAGTTGTCCAGGTGTGGTGGTTACTAATTTATATAATCCACTACCTTGTTAGACATTGAGGTCATTTCTAATATCAGGATATTCAAAGACTGCTTCCATGGCCATCCCTGGAATAAAATATTTGGGCAAATTCAAACTATGCACTTGGGATAAATTCTAAGAAGTGGCTTGTAAGACTTCAACAATTTTCAAACCCAGAAAAGCAAAGCAGTTTGTTTACCTATTACGCCTGCCATCTAGATGCAACGATTTCTTCCCTTGTTTCTTAATGTAAACCTATAGGTGTGTACATTTATGCTGAATAGTAAGTTGCAGACATATTTTACTCCTAAAAAGTTCAGCATGTAGCAGGACACGTCAGTGTAACCACAATATTATAGCATCAAAGATAATTTCTTAATGCCTAATATTCAGTCTATATGTGAATTTCTCTAATTGTCTCAAACTGTCTTACCGCTTATATTTTGAGCATGGATTCAGCTGAGATTCATGCATCACATTCGGTTGCTATGTCTCTTTAGTTTCTTAAAAACAGTCCTGCCC